CTTTGCGTTATATCTGGCAATTTTATTCACGATCCATTGTATTGTATAGAATTGGAGTTATTGGGAAGCATGTATCGAGGCTGAATCAGAGTGTTGTGTTATACAGCACCAGGATGCAGAAGGCAGCTGTGGTGCACAGGTTTATTATAATATAGAGAAACCAGGGGAGGGAATCCGGGGATGAGGGGCTGTTGCTGGGAAATGGCTGACGTAGGAATCCTGTTTGCTAGTGATTCTAAACATGGCCTGAAAAGCCACATTATCAAATAATCTGGTCTGAACATTAGTTCAGACCGAGATCCCAGACCCAATTTCTCCTCTGCTGTTGGGTGGGGTGAAACGAGGGTAAATCAGCCAGAAAACTCCTGCAGTGTGAGCCCAGCCTAAGAGAGCTGGCTAATGATGGAACCCACAGGAGCAAGACAATGAACCTCAAGTTGCTCCCAATGGCAGGCAGCACCTTGCATGGCAGCTCTGTCGCCATTGGTGTATGAATGTGATCTACTTTCAGATGTACGTCACTTTGGATAAAAGTGTCCGCAAAATGAAATTGTAAATTGTATTGCAGTTGGTGATTCGTGGATTGATATCCGGTGATTTCCCCCAAAGACGAACAAAGGCAAAGACACACACTGAAACAAAGAGAGGACAATTGTACACAAAAGGGAGAAACAAAAGGGACTGGTGGTCATGGTGTCATGTCCTGTTGAACGTATAACTGACCACAATGTTTAAAAAAAAAAAAAAAAGAAAGAAAAAAATCTAATCAGCAACTTTCACATCCCCTTTTTCAATTCATTGTCAAACCTGTTTGACAGTATAACGCAGTAAAAAGCTCCAAACTGTATCTTCAACTGATTCTGTCCCTCTTGTTGTTTGAACATATTTACTGAGTTCTCTCATTCTGTTTATATACAAATTATTAGTAGTTTTATTTTACTAAAAGCATAACATAGAAACAGAACATGATCCACATGATGTTAATGGTCGCCGTTTGACACTCTGGTTTCTAATGATTCATAAAGAAAGGAAAGGGGAAGGAGGAAAAAAGAAAAAATGTCAGTCATTGTTCTGAGTTTAAAAGGTCAACACTACAGAAGCATGAAGTAAGCAGCTACCCTGGCTTTGTCCAAAGGTGACAAAATCCTTCCTACGAGCTACTGAAAGCTGTTGTGCTTGTTTCATCTGTGGAAAAACCTAAATACTGCAATATCAGGTTGTGGTTTGATGGTTCCCTAGTTTCAAGTCTTAGTGCTACGCAAAGCTAATCCTCTTCTGGCTGTGGAATTAGATATCATGTGTTGATCTATTCATCTAAGTAAAATAATATCCATGTTTCCCAAACTGTCGAGCCATTTCTTAAACATTTAACAAGTGGCCAAAGTTGGTGATAGATTAGACATTTAAGTTTTCTTATATGCAGCTAAAACCTCAGTAAATATGCCCTAAACTAAATACAAGTAAAATTGCCTAAAACATGATAATAAAAATAATACTTTATTTATATAGCAACCTTTTTTTTTATTATTTAACATATTAAACTACATCAGATGAAACCATGCAGACAAAACACCGAATATACAAAACAATAAATAAAATGACCACAATGCAAAAGATTATTAGAACCCAAGCAGACCAACATAAAATTGTATAATATGAAAAGAACCGAGTAAAATATACAAGAACAAAATAAACTAACCACAATAAAACTAATTAAGAAGAGGCTATTATTGAAGCCTAAGAAAGTTTTCCTGATACCGGAGTAAAGTACATTACAGTAATCAAGTCTAAGGGTGATGAATGCCTCAATACAACTTCTGTCACTTGAGTATTAAAAGAAAGACTTGAATCTAAAACTCTGCGATTCCAGGCCTCTTGTTAAACATTTGTGGCTAATGGTCCCAAACCAGACATAAAATGCTCGGTATTGTGTCTGGAGCCAGAAGGATGATTATGATAATTGCTGTTTTGAAGTTACTGAAATTGACAAATTCTGAATTAATATTATTAATGAATAATGAGGGTGTCATTACTACCTACTTAAGTGGAACAATGGGTGCAAGTAAAAATGATAAAGGACACAGACAGGATCCCTGTGGAACTCCGCAGGTGAGTGGGACTCTTGGAAAAGATACCCCACCAATTTCTACTGAGAAGGATCTATTTGAGAAGTAAGAAACAAACCATCCATTGTAGAGCCACGTCACTGATACAAGACTGAGGAGAATCAAAAGAGAGTAAAGACCTACATTTGAGGACAGCCGTCGGGGATTAGTGACTCTAAAGAGGTTGGTCTTGGTGTAATGACAACAATTTTTTTTATAATTCTTTAAAGTCTTCATCTTAAAAACAAAATTACACTAGGGTCAAGGGGGGACAGTGGCATCTTTAAAATATTAAGGATAAGGAGTTATTTATGATAACTAAAACACTTAGACTTACTGTCTCAATATTTTGCTTTAAAAAAAAAAACATACAACATCTGCTAGTCGAAATTACATTAAAATAAAAACAAAAAGTAAACCTTGAAATACTTGAAATGCCTTTAAACCTAAGGGGCGAACCAAATCATGAGTGGTCAGGGCACATATCACATGTTTAAATATGCCCTCAGCAGCCGAGTCCCCGATTCAAGACCCAGCCGGCCAGATCATTGCTGCATGTCGGTCCCCGGCTCGCTTTTCCCACATTTCATGTCTATCTGAAACTAAAACGGTCCAAAAAAGGTTAAAACGTCTTTAGATGTAAGAAGCAGTGTTTGATTGTGAGATGACTGTGTGTTAATTATGCACAGCCATGAAGACAGTTTTTTTGGACATGCAAGCCAGACAGCTGCTGGTAATCATGACCTGCTGAACAGCCGCAAACATGGCCTCTCACAACATCTGCAAAACACACAAACACACATCCGGTCATTCGCACACACTCAGACTTATTTAGATACACAAAGAGACGTAATAGAGGTGTGAGTTGGAGTTTTATTTGATGAGGAAAGCACTTTGAGCTGCATTTTCTCTACCAAAGGTGCTGTAAGACGGTTCTCTCAAAATGTGGCAGCTCTTTTCGTTCACACTCAGATTAAACAGGATAATGGTTTATGATATTCCCAGTTTAGTATCCATCTTTTTCATTTCTTTTTTTAATCAAACCATCTCTGTATGTCCCTTTATGGATAATCTTCTCAATACTATGGTGCACTTTAACTGTCATACATGCTTGAGCTCATCTGAAAACTTCACACTGCAGAGCTTTTTGAAAAGTGTCAACAAAGACGGGATTTAAACTGAATCCACCCGCTTTGTTTGTAATATGAAAAAAAAGAAAGATATGTCTTGACATGTTGCATCCTGAAAGAAAAAATTGCTTTGTAAGTCTCACACATTACAGTCTAACCAGAGTACAGTATTTTTTACTTTCAGTTCCTATTCAGGGTTTGCAAATGCCGGAACTGTGCATATCAAAGTGGCCAATTTGGTAGTTTGGTTTCAGGAAGATAAACTCTTTCTGCACCTTTGACTCCACTACATATGATAAAGGCATTCCTACTGATTTACAGTGATGTACTGCCATGATTATGTCTGTGAAAGATGACTGTCTTACATGTGTGTTTTTAGAAATCTCCATTCAACAACACTGCGCTGTTATAAAGGTGACTTTACAAACTTAAACACATAGACTGTATAGGCTGAAGTAACTCAGTCATGCTCTTCCACTGAGCCAAGCGTACAGTTTTCCTCTTATGTAAGGTGTTTATTTTTTATGTGCCAACAATCCCACTGAGACAAATCAACATTTTAGTGGGAGTGTCTGTGTAAACTATGAAACCCAGAATGGAGTTTGTTCTTTCAACACTGTGTGTTTTCCCCAGAAATCTTTACAGCAACCAGAGACATTCTACTTTAAGTATCAGTCATATATACAGTGCTGAGAAAAAAGTATTCGCCCCCTTCTCAAATTCTTATTTAAAAAACCAAACCTGCATTTTGTGTTTACTTTGGTTTTCTTTGTCTAATGTTTAAATTTGTTTGATGATCTTAAACATTTAAGTGGAGGAAATATTTTTTTATAAAAATTGATTTCGAGAAGGGGACAAACACTTTTTCACAGCACTCTATCTTTGCATCAACAGTCCATGACTTCATCTTTGTGAAAGGTGTCACTCAAACTGACAGACCAGCAGAGAGCATCTTATAGCTCAGTGTTTTTGGTTCCTGGTCCACAATTTAACTGTTTTGGTTCATTGTCAACCATTTGATGCACGAATGTTTCACCCAAAAAGCTCCCAAGACAACTGCATGTCACCCTCCCATTAGGAAAGAGCAGACAGACGTGGTCAGTGACCAGCTGGTGCTGCTGCTTCATGCACTTTCTAGCCAACAAAGAGTCAGCTGCATCCCTCAAGACTTGGTGGAAACCAAAAACAGAGTTAAAAGAGAGACAATATTGTACTTACTAATTTTTTTCATTTAGTACACTAAAGATTGCTCTGAGGTTTCTGGTGGACCAGGATTTTCTTCCAAACTTGTTGTGGTTTGTGTCTGCCTCTCTTCGTCTGCTTATTGGAAGGACATAGATCTTATTCTTTCACAATTATGCCTACAACACGAAAAACATTATTATTACATATTTGTGTAATAACAAAGACTTGAGCTGCATGAAAAACCTTTTATAGTATTATTGGCTATTCATTACGTTTAAATTTTATTTACCAGCATTATGTTAAGCTTATATTAATTTTACTTTATCTTTCTATGTAATTCCGTTTGTTTCTTGTATTCTATTAATTGATATTTAATTACTTTTTTCACATTGAAATCTTGGAGTGCACAACTGTGTCCATCTTGAGCTCAATTGATGAATGTCTGTATGCTAATAGTATTTAAATAAAATGTTAAAGTGAAGTAACAATGACCAAAACATATTCTGGAGCAGAGAAGCACTTTGAATTATTATTATTATTATTATTATTATTTTATATTTTTGTTTTTTTTCACCTTCAGGCCCGGGAGGCAAACCATGTCGGCGACCAGGTAACGGCGGAGCGGAGCAGCAGGATGGCAAGGACATTGAACCACGTGGCTCTGGGGCTCGGTATCGGGGGCCTCATCCTCACCCTTGTCTTTGTAAAGGTTTTACTGTCTGCATAGTGCGTCTCCATAGTCAATATGTTATTGACATGAGAAACGTTTTCCAAATTTGATGCCTTTAAATTTCAGCCTTAGCCCAGTGTGGCGCTACCATACATGCAGACATCAAATGTTATGCAAAGAGAGTTTCATAATTCACAGTCAAAAAGCAGGTTTGAAGGTTGAAAAAGTATGTCAGATTTCATTGTGATCCGAGTTTTGTGTAATTTTTCAAAAAGGTGAAATTGTGCCTTCTCAACAGAATTGCTGGAAAAATGTGCACTAACATCTGACTTTCTTGAAAAAATACAAAACACCAAATCACATTTTCAAAATCAAATCAAACATTTCACTTTTAGTTTTGTAAAGCTCATGTTCAGAGCTCAAGTAGTAGAAAAGAAAAGCAGCATAAATCTGTTTGTCATCAAAGTGGTTCTGACCGGAAAGTGCATGCTATATACGGCTACAGTCCTCTTCTGTTCGTCATTTTTCAAGTGCGCCAAAGTAATTTTGTTTATTCCAGCTAAATAAGTGCACACAGCTTCTCACGAAATCAGTATAAACAGTGGGGCCATTATGGCAGAAACAGCCAGTTGCTCAATCAGTGGCTCTGGCTCAACTTGCTTTGAGTCCTGCATTGTGTTAGTATCACTGGCCTGGGTGTAGTTTGTCATGCGTTGTCCTGATGTTCTTCTGTTCACCAAAACTCAAGAAGCAAGTTCATACCGTACACTGAATATCTTGAGAAATAAAGTGTACTGACAGAAAAACCACTTCTGTTGTCTGGTTTATGAAGATTTTTTTAAATCATATTATGACCAGACCCTTACAGGGTTTGTTGCTGAATATAAGAACATTTATGTTGCTGCTGAAAAGCTGTTAGTGTTACAGTAGTAGTATAATATCATGGTATCAAGAAGTAAACCAGATGCTACATGTATTTTCTGTAATCAAGCAACACAACATGTAATATTTTCGTATCATGTTTCTGCACCACAATCCCGTCTCAGCTCTCTCTAACTTGCTTCTACCTTTTCTTTACCTTGTTTGTTTGATCTGTTGACCTCACTTCCTGCACAGCCTATTCCACTTGGCCTTACATGGAGTGACAAAAGATCCGACATGCCTTATTAATCTGGAGAGCTGGAATGATGAAATGAAATTAGAGTAATTAAATTAGTGTAATGGGATTAGCATGAGTTGCTTTCACAGAATGGTACATTCGACATGAGAGATGGCATACAGTAGACCGCAAGATCTGACTGCAGGTCTGTTAGAAAGGTCACCACCAAATTTTCTGAGAAGTTCCAAGTACATGCATGTCTGATGATGTGTGGTCTTTTAGAAATACTTTTGTCTGGATGGAGATGTGTAGCTGTACAATAGCCTTTCATACCAGCCAGAAGCCAGTGAAGTGCAGACATTGTAACTGCTTCAATCCTTTTCTCACATTATGGCACATGTCAGTTCTTTGATACACTTTGTGCTGCAACCTGGTCACTTCTTTAGTGATGAATCTGGAGTGATCAGGTCCTCACTCTGGTGATCTAGCTGGGAATGATCAAGCTGTGACTTGTGACCAGGAGGCGCATTATGCTGTGTGTCATATTTCTTCAACTAAGACCAATAGAAAGCCTTTTTAGCAGCTTCCAAGATACTCTAAATGGCTCTTCTTCTTTGTAGCCCATAAACCTCCAAGTGTCCCAGATCCCAGTGTAGAGACTAGCATTGGAAGCCCCTTACAGCTCTCTACAGGTTGCTCACAGCAGGTTCATTAGGCATTCAGGTACCAGAGCTACATACCTGGGTCTCTTCCTTTCTTGTGCCTCATTCATCTGTTCCTGCCAAGGAGACCGTTACCTATGGCAAAACTTCTTGGTTTTTTTGCCATGTACATCAGGACCATTTCTGGTCTGTGTGGCAGCTATTGTTTCTTTGTTTGTTTCCTTAAGTTGACCAGGAGCTGCCAATCTCTTGCCATCTCCATCTATATACACTGGTGTTGAGGGTTCAGATGTTGTCTGCTTCTGCCTGTCGGACTTGTCCACAGTGTCAACGATATTACTCCCCCAAGCCCTTCAGACGTCGGCTGAGTATATCTTCCAACAATTCCCTTTTCTAGCAGAGTTGGTGAATCCACCAGGCCCCAGCTCAGCAAATTGGAAAGGAAGAGAATCATACATGGCTAGAACAAGAACTTGAATTGGTGTGGTTCTGCCCTCCAGAGTTCTGCCCTGGTGATCTGTTAGCTGGCTGTATCTTCCCACTTGGTCCAGGCCCTCCACTTGCTTATACCTACCATTCTTGCTGTTGCCTCAACGGCCACATCCACATCTTTGTCAAATTGTTGCCATACTGAATATTTGTTGGCAACAAGGCTACTTTGGGCTGTAGTTCTTGGTGCTCAGATGTTTTGTATCAGGGACTGGTACTATGTATTGCACCACTTGTTCCTTCTTCAAGTAGCTTAACTTGTTCTCATAGATTGTTAGATCTTCTTCTCTTGCAGACCTTACACTGGTAGTAAGTTACTCATTAGCTTGGTTTGTTACCAATGTATCAGCCCATTCAGGGTACTCTTTATCTCCCCCTCTCGGGCACCCCTAGAGCACCCCTAGGGTATTGTTAAATATTATTATTGTAATTATCATTATTTTATTGTATAAAACTGGAAATACATCACCTTGTACAAAAAATGTTTGACTTGTTCACTGCAACAACAACATTTCTGTGCACTTTTTCATTTAATTTATTTTGTAAGTGACGCCATGTCTTCTTTGTAGTGATTTCCACTGCAGAAAACTACCACAAAGCTTAAATCAACATCTCAAAAGACAAATAGCTGAGGGATGATGCCTGCTCCAGTACAGAAGTTCAGTAATGTTCTATTATCAATCTTTACTGATCTGGTTGTTGTTGTTGTTTTATAGGGTGTGTTTATAACTGAGGTTTATCACTTAAGTGTTTTTTTTACCAGGTGACAGATGTTTTTTGTCAACCAGTTTTTCTGACACTCTGACCTGAGCATCCTCTTGAGAGCTGCAGCTTGGGTTCCGAACCCTCCATCTCTGAGTCTTCCACTGTCTCTTCAATCATCACCACACCATTTACAGTTGTCATCCAGCCTTTTCCTGGAGGTTTAAAGTCTGTGACCTGAACTGGAGGTCACTGGCCAGTGGCCATCGGGAAAAGACTGCATGACAACTGCCTTTCATCAGATGGGCCAGAGGACAGAACTTCAGGATGTCAGTAATAGCTTCAAGATGTAAGTAGGACTGCAACTTTAGAAAGTGGGTCTGGAGAAACAGCCGATGGTTTGGGAGTCATTATGAGTTTCTGTAAGTATTCCAAAGGCTATTATTGTAAATGCTTTGTCTCTGCTCTCTCAGCTCCACCTACACTTCCTCCTTTCTACTTGCTCGTCTTATTCCCATTGCTTTTCAATTTTTCTTCCATATTTTACTCCCTTCTCGCCTTACCATCCCTCTTGTTCTTTTATAGTGTCACACATGCCTCTCTATTGTACTCTCTGTTTTAATTGTTCTGTCCTCTGGGATTTCCCCGTAGCAAAAACTGCTATGTAATTTGGAAATTGATACGTCAATGCTTCTTCTACATACACATTGTAAGAGGATATCTCACACAAGATGTCCTCTAAGGATTTAGAGGGAAAACACCAGTTTAATCACTATTTATTTGATTCCATTCTAATCTTAACTTTGTTTGTCCTGCTAATTCCTGTTGCTGTACTTCTCATTCTCTGCCTGCTTTCCTATTTTATTATCCACCACTATGGTCACCACAGATAAGTCAAGTTTATGACCATAACACACAGACTCCCGATAGCTGTCTGTTGTTAAATAATCCTGATAGAATTTATTTTCTGCTGTTTATTAACAGACATGTTTCCGGTGAAACATTGCTTCAGATAAATCTGCTATTTTATTTATTCTTGTAGTCAGAGGTTTTGTCATCATCCCATTATGAAACCTGTTGTTCGTGGCCAGAAATGAGTTTTAGTTGGTGTCTAATTTTGTCTTTAAAATGGCTTGTCTGTTAATGCAATACAGTTGCTAACTTGTACATACAGACATGGCTTTCTCTATTCAGGGGAACTTTTTACCCCATGGAGCCTAAAATAGAATATAAATGGATGCCCCGGCAGCTCAGCAGGTTGCGCGGGCGACCCATAAACAGGGGCTATAGTCCCCAATGCAGCAGTTATGGGTTAGAATTTGCTGCAGGTCCTTCTGCCACTCTTCTTGTTTCCCACAATCCCTCAGTGCCATGCCATGCTTCCTTTAGTCTAGTGGTGAATGTGTGTATGTGACTACATGTGCCATATGTGTATGTGTATGCATGGAGGGTGGGAGGGACGGGTTTTCTTTTATAATATTCTTAAATGATGTAATGTTTTTAAATGATGTAATGTTTTTAAATGCTATGTTGTTTTTAAATGCTGTAAACCACTTTGTGTTGCTGTACTGTATGAAAAATGTTGTATAAATAAAATTTGATTTGATTTGATTTGATTTGATTCTCCTACTTTCCTGTCTTCCTCTCCACTTAATTATGTAATAAAAAGGCCACAAAACAAAAAGGATTCGAAATGGGATCATTTGGAAGTTAGAGTTCTTCAAATATGATCAGACGTGTTCTTCAGGTAGCTTTTTTTCAAACTCTTCCAGTGTTTTCTATTTAGGTTGTGTGTAAATAATTTCCTGTGGTTTTCATTGCACTACATATATTTTAAAGCCCATTTAGGAACAAGTACTAAAAATTACTAGCTCTGATTTCATGCTGTGCAACATAGACGTGATTGTTTTAGGGAAAATGCCGCCGTTTGTAAATAAAAATTCTCTGCAGGCTTGAATCAGCTGCTCTGGAAACCATTAATACCAGGCCGCATCTGCTTTTTAACCCTCAAACCCCCAGGACAGGCAGTATAAACATGACAAACAGCCTGCTTCTGATGATGTAAACTGCTTTGCCAAGAGGACAGAGTGCAACTGAAACTTATCGGTTGAAACCATAAAGCATCAACTTCGAAAAAAAATGGGCATTGACTTTAGTTAAGTAGCTGTAGCTTTATTACAACTGCAGCCGTCTTCAGCCTTGTGGTTCCTTGTGTTTTGAGACACGAGTGACATTGTAAGAAGCACAGTGCAGTAAACCCACAGACCTAGAAAATTAAAACATTACATTAACAAAACTGTGTAAAAAAAAAAAACTCATAACTGCAACTGTTGAAAATCATAATGGGTTACATCTCTTAAATAATAAATGAATAATAAATAAATGTGATGGGAATCTGTGGCTTCTTACTGAGATGTCTATTTAATAATTAACCACAATGTTCTTTATTTATTTTGTTCTTTAGATGCATTTTTCCCCCCACATCTACAATGTAGCTTCCATTACATGTGCCAGCTCATAATAATATTTGCTTGACTCTTATCAAGTGAGCACCTAACACACAGTTAGGATGAACATTTTTCATGATTCAGAAACCATTCAAATGCAGTTAGTGGCCAACAGCTGGTTCAATACAGGGTGTAAATGTAAACTACGTTCCCCCGCCCCACCCCAACAATCCTTTCATTTGTGCTAATAGAGGGAGTGCCAGCTAACTCCATCCCCCTTACTCGTGACCTTTCCGTGTATGACTTTTACAGCTGGCACGGATGTGTAATAGGATCAGGTTACCTCAGTGTTTGTTCAGCAATTATTGACGTCGGCTGCAAAATTCCCCCCCTGACGTGCAGGAGCTGCAGCAGATTGTTACAGAAGAACAGCACCTCTCGCCATTTCACCAGCCCTTACCAGAATGACGTAAACAGCTGAGGTAAGACAGACATTACAAATGAGCCCCACAGAGGACACATACAGCAACTGTTCGTCTATGCTGTTCCTGAAAGAGCAACTAGTTCAACGACGTGCTTCTGTTGCCCCCTACAGGACAAAAAGCTGAGTCATTAAAAAAACTGATCAGAAGAATTTTCAAAAATGTTATACTTCATATGTGGAGAACTCTTAAGCTATAAGTGAGTATATAAGTGTACATTTTGTCCACCCCCTTCTCATTACATAAAGACAATCCAAGAGCCTTTGTTTCTATGCACTGGCTACACTTTATTGAACATATGAAAACAAGTACAAATGGCAAAATAAGAAGAAAATTACCCTTTTCTCCCAAACAGGCAAATAAATTAAGTCACCCTTTCATTGATTTATTACAAGAGGCATGGCATCTGAATTATTATGTTAGTATTATTGTGGCCAGCCGTCACCTTAAAAGTCATTTATGGAGTGGCAGTAAATGTGACAAATTTTCACAGGTGGCAGTTGCCTGTTCAATTCTACACCACAAACACGGCTGTATTTAATGGGGACTACCTCTAAAACTACTGCTCATGGAGCGTTTAGAGTTAAGAACGATGACGGTACTCAGAATAATGAATGGAACAACACTTAGCACTTCACTGACTCTTTAGTGTTCAAAGACAGCAACATCAACACCAAAATGTATAAAGAAGCCTTTGCGGCAACACCTAAGATATCATAATGTGGCCGAAGAGGTGCAAGCTTCAATCTGGGTAATTTGGTTAACATATATAGTGCGATATTACAGATAGTTTAAGCTCAATCAGCTGATTATCTTTTGAACGAGAGCGCAGACCACACACCTGAAGTGTAACAAGAAGTAAATACTATGCAAACCGAAGGCCACAGTGAGTGAGTAGAGACAAACTCATGCTTTAACTAGTACATACAGCTTAACTCCCCATATTTATTGTACATTTATGCAATATTTACATACTTAAAACCTCCCCTTGTGGCTCTGCGACATGTGCGTCTCAAATTACAATCATTTCCATCATCTCTTCACTTGGCCAAAAAGGAGAGAAGCAAAGAAGCATTCGCTACAACCCAAGACGAGGAAATGAGAGTATGATGTCATCGCAAAAAGCCAGGCGAAAGTGGTGCAACACATGTTAAATCTTCCTTATTTGTTCGACACCTGGAGGCTGAAAATTTCTCAGCTGCCTTTGTCTTGAGATTCGTATGATATATATATATGTACACAAAACCAGCTCACAAAGTGTGAGAGGTCACAATCTGGCTGAAATCCATCAACTGCAAACAGATTAAATCGAAACAAAACACGCATGAAGGAAAGGAGCAGGAATGTGACACAAAGGGGCCGGAGTTGACCAGACAGTATTGTATTTAACAACTCTAAAATGGATACAAATGTGCAACAAAAAAAGCAGAATTTGTCCTAAAAAGTCATCCCTTGGACAGAAAATGCATTTTCTTAAATAGCAGTTAAATGAACTCAGTATTTGAGTAGGGTGGATTTTAGAGGAGAGGGGTAGGGTGAGAGGAGAACTTCTTAGTAGGAGCGGATTGCAGGAGGGACATGGGCGCAGTCCTGCTCATCCAGAGAGGTGTCGATAACAGGTCGGTACTCCAAGGTCACCTGTGATTGGTCAAAAGCAAAAGTGCATCAGACATCACGAGTGGTCTTAAAGTTGATAATAGCTAGTAGAACAGTTTAAAATCCAGGATGAGGCTCTACAACAAACAGTGAGGAGGACTGTACCTTTCCAGTCTTGGGGTCAACGTAAGACAGAGTGTGTTTCCTCCAGTGCTGGTCGTAGGGCTTCTTCTCCTGACCCGCCAGGGGCTTAGAGTAGTCGTACTCATCGACACGATCCTGGAACATAGTTAAAAGAAGTTCTGTCAGAAGGAAGACTGGTTGTATGAAGGCAATGGAATTATAATTAGTGATTTTGCACAGACAAAAAAATGAATGCTAAGAAGTAAACAGTGGGAGACTGATCCAAGCTGGAAATGGATAAAGAAATACAGGTACATATATACCACATAGTAAAACCAACCTTAAAGTCCTCTCTGGCATGGGCTCCCCTGCTCTCCTTCCTTTGTTCAGCGGAGTGGATGGTCTGGACGGCGTTCAGCATCAGATTCTGCAGCTCCAGTGTTTCCACTAAGTCTGTGTTCCACACAATGCCTAGAAGAGAAGTGGAGGAAAAAAGAAACCTTATATTCTACATCAAAGACTAAGAGCGCTGTAGAATAGAATAGAATGTTGTTGTTTTTTTTGTCATCATACACAAAGTACAACGAAATTAAAAGATAACTCCATTGGTGCACAATACAAGTATAAAATAAGACAAATAAAATATATAAATATATTTACAAAGGAGCCAATAGGGAAGTATATATAGTTAGGAATGAACATGATAACAACATTAATGGTAGAATAAACATATTGCACTGTTGAAATAGGAAAGCTGTTTGAACAACAAAAAAAAAAACCCCACTGGACACAGTAAAGGCCAGAAAAGCAGTGCAGTACCTCTGTCAAAGGTCTTAAGATCATCCATGGTCTGGTAAATGGCGTCCATCTTATCGCATCCCTCCTTCAGAACAGAGCCGGTACGGAACACTGCTGCATGAGCCTGCATGGTCTGAATGCAGACGCAGAGAAAGACATATCAGTTTGGGTCTGTTTATGAACTCAGAATGTCTTTGAACAAAGGTTTAAAAAGAATACAGTTCATTATTGCATAACATATAATGTACAGTGACTAAATACTTCATGTTGCAATGTGTGACATTTTGGTCTGACACATTTCCAATTAATGAATCTGAAAACAGGTATAATCTGCACATGTAGGAGTTAATGTTTGTGTGTGTACCTTCTGCATGTTGAGCCTGATCTCAGAGGTTCTCAGACTTCCATTGGCAAACCTCAGCTTATCCAGGTTGGCCACAGACTCCTCCCCTGCATTGGGCTTCAGTGGGGACAGTTTCTCTCCTAAGTAAAACAACATTAACAGTGTCAGCAGTGAAGCAATGTGGTAAATACTTACATTATAACACCTTACTTCACTTTGTAACTTCATTTTTGGTCATACACCGGATGCATGTGCTGTAGTAACTTAGTGGGGAGACAAGAGGCTTCTCTGTACACAACTGTCTAATTAGAATCTACTACGGTCAGTTTGTGAAGTGTTAAAGGAGCATCAGTAAATTTTGTAGTGTCTATCAATAGATAGATATTCAGAAAGCCTTGGGGTACAATTGTATTTATACTTTTCACTGAATTCAGGTGAAGTTGGATCTTATTTTAAGTCTTCTTTGGATGGAAAGGTTTGTACATTAGCAGGTATGTAGCACAAGATGGAAATGATGCAATCTCAATATTTATTAAAATAACTTGGATCATTATTTTGGCTATAATTGTGCAGTCTTATAATCCGACCAGTTGAGCATAATAATGTTGAGAAAATAGTGGTATTTAAAATTAAAACAAAAAAAGAAATAATGATTTTTGTGGAAGAAAAATATCACATAGCATTTCATGACTCTCCTGACAGATCAATGTGTTAGTTACCTGTACTAACTGATAAATGTGTTGCATCAGTAACAATCTAGTGACATTTCAAAACAAAAGATCTAAACTAAAAATTCTTCTTTCTAATAACAATAATTCCTCACCAGGTTTGTGTTCCGAAGCAATTGTGAGGGCGCAGGCTCTGCCAAAGACCACCAGGTCCAGCAGTGAGTTGGCACCCAGCCTGTTAGCACCGTGGACGCTGGCACATCCAGCCTCGCCGCAGGCATACAGTCCAGGCACCACCTTGTCCTCACCGTTGGTGTGAGTGATCACCTGAGGGGAACAGAATAAAAGTGTTGTAAGATGCTCACAGTGGCACACTGAGCAGTGGATGAGAAAGAGCACAAATTCTGTACCTGTCCCTTGAAGTTTGTTGGTACTCCGCCCATGTTGTAATGAACGGTGGGGAGCACGGGGATGGGCTCTTTGGTGACGTCGACTCCAGCGAAAATCATGGCTGTTTCTGAGATACCGGGAAGCCTTGTGGCCAGCTGCTGAGGAGGCAGGTGGTGAAGCTGCAGGTAAACGTGGTCCTTCTCTGGGCCAACACCCCTGAATGGAGTAAAGACAAAAAATAATAAGCAACAACAACTCTTGAAAACCTTTGTTTCCCCGACATACAGTTCACATCACACAAGCACAGGCTTTTTCCGTACCTGCCCTCCCTAATCTCGATGGTCATGGAGCGGGACACCACGTCTCTGGAGGCCAGGTCTTTGGCGTTGGGTGCGTAGCGCTCCATGAAGCGCTCTCCTTCACTGTTGATCAGGATGCCTCCCTCACCACGGCAACCCTCTGTGATCAGGCAACCAGCTCCGTAGATCCCTGTAAGGATTCACATATTAAGAGGGATGTCTTTCCTACTCACATTTAACTGAAAGTAAGAGACATGGTTTAGTATTTTGCCAAATACATGTTAATGCTTGTGTCTCAGATACCTAACTTTGAGCTAATCCTTATTTTTTTTTGAGTCACACCACTGCTCAGTTTTATGTAGGGTACTATATTATTCCTCTGGTGGCCATATTTATTTAAAAGAGATATCAAACAGACTATTGGAACCAAGTGTTGATGAATGAAATAGAACAGTAAATATATTTTAAACAACTAAAAATAAGCAATCTTTGAAATTAAATCACAGGAACTCTACGTTGAATTTAATGGCATTTCCATCAAGGAAACAAGCTTTTACTGTCATAATTGCCATGGCACAACACTGTGCCAAAGTCATTTATGATTCTGTGTTTTATGGACCAGGAACTGGTAAGTATATTTAGCTTGGTAATTACAAAGTAATTTTACTCCAGAAATCCAGAAGAGTGTTAGTTTTATCTTTATAAGGGTGCTCACATCTAGTGTAGAAAAATAATACAAGTATTAGTAATTAAGTTCTTCCAAACAGAATAGTCATGAAATTCTGACACATTGTAAACAATACCACCAACCTTGATAGGTCGATGTTGTTACAGTTCAATATGTTCTACAATACACCAAAACACTTTTTTATGGTTTTGAGCCCTTATTTTCAGTGCTCACACTAAAGAGTCAGCTTGCTATCGATTTGATAATCTGATGGCACGCTGCAGTCACACTACAGTTCAACTCTTTTCTTATGTAAACAGGCACTTGTAACCAAATACTAAACTGTGGCTCAGACTTAAAGGAATTCCTACAGGTCACGTAACTGTGCTGCTTCACACACAACTGAAGAGTCTGGTGTCAAATGTCCAGCAGGAACAGAAATAAACACAAATATGTGGCTTTATGAGAGTGACATCTATCATTGGGGCTCAATGTAAACAACTGATTCCGAAAAGAGTGATGGATCCAACCGATTTTACCAATCTGTAACTGCAGATTTGCTGTAGTCACCATACAGAAGTAGAGGGTTACCACACATGCATGGTAAACTTGCTCATTAACTTAAATGTCTTTCGAATGTATGACAAAAAAGATTGTCTCATACAATAAATGGGACAAAAAAACTATTAATAGTTTTCAAACAATCAATTTTCATTACTAATTCCAGACACTTGTCCAGCAATTTATCTAAGCAGTAGACTAAAGCTAGAAAGCATCTACCAGTATTTCTCAGAATCTCTTCGTGTATCTGTAGTAAAATTTAAAATCAATAAGGGACACAGAAAGGCATTAAACATACAGCTAAACAAGAGCAGGCTGACAATGAAACACAGTTTGCACTATTTCTAAAGCATCTTATCGCATCTTTATGGCTAGGCAATAAAATAATGGACTTTGAACTGTCATTGACAAATTACTTATACTAGTTCAAATTACTACAAGAAATCTAGACATGTCTTTCATGTATTTATTTCGTTGCTGTAGACCCTCCAAGCAGCTGTCTTTCGAAACAAAGCTCTACACTGCTTTAATGCTTCAGTCACAGAACTATTTTATGGCTATGGTTTAATAAGTTAACAGTCTTCTTTCCTCACCAGTGGGATGGAACTGTACAAACTCCAAATCCTGGCAGGGCAGGCCAGCTCTGGTCACCATTGCATTTCCGTCTCCTGTGCTTGTGTGAGCAGATGTGCAGCTGAAATAGGCCCTTCCATAACCCCTGGAAGGAAAGCCAGAAGTAATTTCTAAACTTTCACACACTTCTGATGACACAACATGAACACTCCAAGAAACATGTGTCTCATACTAACTGTCACATTACTGTAGTGGACAAGACTGAATGATGACTGAATGTGCTCGTACCCAGTAGCGATGACAGTATTCTGGGCTCTGAAGCGGTGAATAGAGCCATCCTCCATACAGAGGGCAATCACTCCTTTGCACTCTCCATTTTCCATCAGCAGGTCCAGGGCAAAGTACTCCACAAAGTAACTGGTGTCATAGCGAAGCGACTGAACAGGAGTCACAAAAGCAGACAGATGTGGTTACATGGTGCTCCACTGCAAAACAAGTTTCTCAATGCACGGACTAAGTCAGAGAAAGAAGGCTGGAAAATGTGCTCACCCGTCCATAAAGTGTGTGCAGAAGCGAGTGTCCTGTCCTGTCTGCTACACAGCAGCAGCGGTGAGCCTGGCCACCTTTTCCATACTTAAGACTCTGACCTCCAAAGGCCCTCTGGTAGATCTTCCCATCCTCAGTGCGGCTAAATGGCATACCAAAGTTCTCCAGCTAGGAAAAAAAAAAGAGCAGTGTCAGTTGCCCGTCTGATATCACTGTGTGTAAGATAATCCTGGGTGGAACAGGCCATTTCAGTGGCATGACTAAAAAATAAAATACATTTATTAATTAAAAAAAACTAAAACAAACTCTATCTACCATATTACGAGAGTTACCCAAATTTAACCTTTACATATTTTAAAGTGTTTTAGGTTTTGAGTTCTTATCCTGTTTCATAATGGTATATTGTATAGCATTAAATGAATGCCTTACACGCTCTTGATTTGCATCTTTATTGGTCAAAGCCTAGTATTTGCCAGCTAGCACAATCATGTTGTACATGTGTCTGTGTAACAGTTCTTACCTCCACTACGGCTGCAGGAGCCTGCTCTGTCATGTAGTGGATAGCGTCCTGGTCTCCGAGCCAATCAGATCCCTTCACTGTGTCGTAGAAATGCCACCTCCAGTCATCTTCCTCCATGTTCCCCAGAGCTGCATTGATCCCACCCTATTACCCAGAGTCATATTAAACAGTTTAAAAAAATGACTTAATTTCAAACATAATGATTGCAAAAGAATTTAAAATGGATTAATTTATATCATCAATGAACATAAGAAGTATGTTTCACCTGTGCAGCAACAGTATGAGACCTGGTTGGGAATAGTTTGGTGACACAGGCAGTGTTGAAGCCAGCCTCTGACAGTCCAAAAGCTGCCCTGAGTCCTGCTCCTCCAGCTCCTACCACCACAGCATCAAACTCATGATCCACAACTGGATACTGAGTGGAGATCTGAAAACCATGAAGACAAGAGGGTACTGTTAAACTCTATAAAAAGAGCAGTCTGCAAAAAGTTAAAACTGAACTTTCACTATTCTCAGGGAGTTTTGTGATTATACATAATTAATTTGATTCAATATTCTTTCTTGATCTATATTTATATTCATGAATATGGTGTCAACAATATTGCCAAATCAACAAGCATAGTGTAAATAAAAAAAATAAATAAATAAATGAAAGGAATAGGCCAAGAATGTGTACATACTCACATGGCTACCTCTGTAGAGCACTATGTCATAATATTCATCCATACTAATAACCCTGTTAAATGCTGATCTGAATAAAACAAGCATAAATGTTACTCACGTCGTCTGACAATTTGGCATCTTTCCCCTTGCCATAGATGGAAAAGTGAAAGTTCCTGGAGCCCTGAACTGCAGTGGCAGGGACCTGGTAGAAAAGGAATCAACATAAGTGCTGAATGAACGTTTCTGCAGCATCAGATCATTGAACTATTAGTAGTGTGTCTGTGTTGAGATTACATAACCAAGGAGTTTTCAGATGCCATCTTGGTGATTGTTTACACCTCCCTCCATGCTCTAACCCCACAACCACGTCAAACGTCATCCACTCTGTTACCGCGAGATTTCAGACACCCCGTGTTTTCTCATATTGCTTGTATTGTGCTGTATTTCATGTATAATTTTCTTCTACAAGTTGCAAAATTTTAACCAGCTTCTGCAAAAGAATTTCCCTGCAGGGATTGACTCCTTTTTTGTTTTTGTTTTTTTTTTGTTGTTGTTTTTACAAATTCTAATATTAATAATCGCACATCCGTAAGAATCCCAAATCATAAACCATCAATATCCATTGCCATTATTCACTGGAATTTTTGCACCGACCTTTGGCTTTGTCTTTGATTTTAATTACCTATGGCATCACTAAACAACTACTTTGGTTTAAAATTGCCTTTAAATTCATCTGTAGCGTTTCCTTCCACATTTCCCAGCTAACATGCAGCCGCTGGTTGCCACAATGTTCCACAAGGGCAAGTGAGTTTGATGGTGGATTTCCTGAGTTATGTTGACAGTTTACTAAACATTACTTACAAAGTAAAAGGTGAAAGGAAGATAACAGATGGTATAACTGCGTAAAACATTTCCTTGGACTCGCAGAGTAGCTTTTTTCAAGGTGTCACATTGAAACACCCTAAGCTACATAACAGATTACGCAAGTGAGAATCCGCCAGTTACGAAAGCTAAATTATTCCTTTCAGCGCAAAGAAAATACAATGAATACACATAAATAAAGTACATAAAGTTAATGGCAGTTTTGCTATCAAATAGTTTCCACTCACTGCTTTCGTCTTTAAAAGTGCCTTCTTGGAGAGAAAACGGGACGCAGCACGAACACTCGCCATGTTGTCAGTTTCAGGACCGTTCCTGCGGCTCTGCGGAGGATCAGATATTCTGTTGCACTGGACTAAACCACTCTGCAAAAAAGGGGGGGGCAAGTTCATATTACACCTAATGGGTAATATTTAAAACATTTAGTAGTGTATTTGTATTAGTAATAATCGTCGTAATACTTTTAATAACTTCGAGCAAATACATATATGCTTTGTTTGTAATACGTATGTACACTTTCAAAAAAGTGGATTTTTATAACTAACCCTCGGTCGGTACAAATGGTATGCTGAAGCGTAAAATTGTATAAGCTGGGTGTGCAGGAACAAATGTATAAGTGACCTAGACTTTTCATTCAAGGTGAGACACGGTTCCATGTATTTAAGAGACATACACTGACATGTTGTCGGAATTGCAAAGCTTTTATTCCCCTTGCTGTGTTTCTATTAAATATTCTTGCGAGAACGAGCCACTACGCTAAATGTTAGCTAGCATGTTAGCTCTTAGCTAGCCTTGTTTGTGGTTAGCTGGGCTGTCAAACTTCCAAGTCATGTAAGAATGGTTTTGCTGAAGACGACTGTCGCAGTGTTTTGCTACCAATATAATTACGGACAAACCTTTCTGTCTAGTGTTAATTTACAATACATTTTCACTAATGCCACACATAATTACAAGACATGTTTATTTTTTAATCATTTAACTGTGAGTCTCACTCTTGTAAGCTACAGAATCAATGGGTAGTGACAAATAGTTGAACCTAGAATCATGTGCCTTTGTTTTATAGATGTTTTTAAGTGAGGCTGCAAATACTTGGGCCCTGTCACTCAACAATACAGACCGGGTGGTTACTGCAGATGCCAGATTCGTGCGCCACCCATCAGTCTTTTTAACATAAATCTACAGGAATCCCTTGTTATTGTTTTAGTCTGTGCGTGTCTGTGTGTTACAGCATCCTCCATGAACAACTTGAATGATCCCCCAAGATGGAACATCCAACCAGACCCCAGAGGGAGGGGGGCGGGTGCTGGTGATGGCAACCAATGGAACTACGCCCTGCTGGTCCCCATGCTGGGACTGGCTGCGTTTCGTAAGTTACACAAGGTTTTGTGTTATTGAATGTACAACTAGCTTACACTCACGTGCAAAATAGGTTGAGTCTTTCTGAGATTTTTCAGCTTTATCTTTGATGTTTTTTTTGTTTCTTTCGTTATATTTGTGTCTAACTCATTGAGCCTTACAGATCATCTACATACATCTCATACATCATCTCATACATCTACATTACATACATCTCACTGCAATGCAGTGATCTGCTGGGAAAACTTGCCTCCTAGCATTCATGTGGATGTTTCTTAGACATGTACCACCTACCTAAACATGTTACAGATCAAGCACACCCCTAAAACATGGCAACTCACTCTCTCAAAGTTGGAAGGCAACACTGCCCCAAATACTCTGCTCTTCAGAAAATCAAGGCAGTATCACTGACAATTCTACTCACTTTTGTATCTGATCATCAGGTTGGATCTGGACCAGAGAATCTCAGAGAGAAATCCAGAAGGTCAAAGCCCAGTATGACAAAGATGTATCCACAATACAAAGTGAGATGGAGGTACGTTATCGGGACACACTGACAGAGAGGCGAAGGGCAGCAGCTCTGCTGGAGCTGGAGCTGGAGAAGGAGAGACAGCGGGTGAAAGGCTACAAACAGGCCATGATCTCACAGAGTCAGCAGCTTATGGAAGAACGGAAGCAGCTGCAGAAGGTAAAGAAGTTTTCATGTTTGTCACCTCTTACAGTCTTTATTTAAGTGACTAAAGGTCCTCTTTTTTTTCCTGTGCTCATCTGCGTTTTCCTATACCTCTTTACCTTGTCCTGCTCTCCCTTTGACTGACGCCCTCCACTCCCACTATTGTGTGTTTTTCTATTCTCAGCTAAAGTCTCTTATCCATAACCAAAAATTGTCTTTTCCCCCACAAGGAGCGAGAGACCTTGGAAGGTGAGAAACAAAGGTTGGTAAAGACTGGCGCTGCAGGTGCTGTACTGCATCAAGCCCTGGAGAGAGAGAACGACTGGTACCGTCGGGCCACAGCCACACTGAAGGAGCTTGAAGGTCAGCTGGTAGAACGTCAGAATGCCTACTGCTCCCTCATCCAGCCACGAGATCAGCGACTGGAGATGGAGAAGAACATGCTGCTTAAGGTCGTTAAAGAGCCCATCGGGGCAGAACTGGATCTGGAGTCTGACCTGAAGGATATTTTTAAGAGAGATAAGCATTGTGCGGACCTGCTTAATGTGGACAAGAGGAGGAATGGAAGCCTCATGTGGGTGTATCTCAAATACTGGCAACTGCAAATCACTGTCCAGAAACACAAAAAAGCTGAGGAAGCCATATTAGGAGGGAAAATCCAGTCTGACCGAAAGTGACCAATGACAAAGACAAGCTGGTGTTTTCGTTTGACTCTGAAGGATGTTGACAGTATGTGCAGCAGGAATGGAAAATGCCTGTATTGTTTCCACTCTCTGTAATATCTTCACCTGAAAGGAATGTTATGCATACACACTAGTGCTTCTTGCAACAAGATAATGTTAAATATTTAAACATTTCATTCATGATCTCAAAAATCCCCCAGTTAAGACTCATTAGCTTTGAATTCAAGTGTGTGAAAATTAAAAATGTGTGTGGATAATTCAGGGCAAACACAGCTGATGTTTAATTAAATATAAACAGATGATTCTTTTCCATTTAGCTGCTTGGTAAATGAAAAAAAGAATCAATTTAATTTGCATTCTCTGAATGCCATTAATAAATGTTACTTTAACATACGTCTTGAAAGGGGATGTTTTTATCTCCTCTTCTTAGATATGAATTCAGGGTTTCCACAAACTGTTCACATTGTCCCATGTGACAACACACTTTCTGGAAAAGCACTGTTTCTCAACAGAAAATTTATCAAATCATTTTAATATTCAAGTGAAAAACAACATCTAAAACATGCCATCAACACCATTTTTACATTTTTCATGAAATGAAGTCTTTCCTTTTTGTGGGGTGTGTCTTGTGTACTTGCTGCTGGGCTATGGTGGGAGATATTTATCATGACAACTGATTTGTTTGTGACTTGTTTTGTTTTTTTTACCTCAGTCTATGACATCTCCATTTACAGTTGGAACTGTTGCCATCCTATGATATTGTACAGAATAGTGCTCTTGTTTCTCATGACTGGTCTGTGGGAACCTCATAACTCCAGGGAAACAGGACTTTAATTAAGGTGCATGTGTACAAAGTAGTGCTCGGAAAAAGCGCACAGTTGATCTCAAACTCTAACACACTTGTACTAAAAGGGATATTTAAAATCTGTAGCTTTTTTTTATTTGGTTATCAGGCCTCTCTGTGCTGGTACGTTTTTATTTTCACCTTGGTGAATAAGTGCTGGATGTAATGCCATAAGATAGGATATAATGACACTGATCACTGCTATCCTTCCAATACATTTTTGGTTTAAGAACTTATTTTCTGTGTTGTCTGTGTTTTCTCTTCAGAAAATTAAAATGAAATGCTTGATTTACACAACTAGCTCAGCACGTGGGGTGCTGTTGTCTTACCACAGGGGGGTGCTGCCACTGGATTTGAATTCAGAAAAATGATTTCATGCAATGGATATGTGGAGACTCATACTACGCAAAGTACAAAAACTAAACACTTTACCGCAGGAATATAAGAAGATACATCAAGACACATCTAGTAGTCGGTAAAACAGGCTTCTGGACAGTGTTTAATGGAGCTTTATTAGGCATACAAATCACTAACAATGATAAAAGCTTCAGGAGTCTTGGATACAACCATTGTAAAGAATCATTGTCAGAATATGTTTATATTTACAATTTGGTATATCATTACACATTTGCACATTTTAGCTTATAGTTTATGATATGTTGAGTACACTGAAGTCTCTTTAGATGATTCTTAGCAGTTGAGATGTGGAGGAAGTTGATGCATTATTCTTTTTCACTACAACTAAAACCTGTGTAGATGACAAGAAAAAGCCCTCCTGGCTGTTTTCTATTTTCTAAGCTGCAGTTTAAATTTCCCTCCACCTGCTTTCTTCACTCCCTCCTCGGTACGCGATGAGAGATCTCCCTTGGAGATGACATCAGACTGGAGGCTCTGTAGTCCACTCTGACTGGCTTGTTGAGGTTCTGAGTTATGGCAGTCATTTTCTCTTTATCTTCTCCTTTATCTTCCTTCCCTGGTGCGACTGGCTGTACTGTGCACCCAAAGGTGGCTGTGGCAGGATGCAGCTCCCTCTTGGTGCTGAAGAGGGGGAGCTGGTGCTCCGTCATGGCTTCATTAATGCGGCCCAGCCTCAGCATCTGGCTGGGGCTCCTCTCCACCATGAAATGGGCCACCTGTTGCTGCTTATAACTCTCTCTCCGAATGCTGTCGGTCTCTGACAGTGTCTGCCTGGAACACATTGCATACAAATACATGAATGGCATAGAGTGAAGCAAAGTGGAGTCGTCATCACTTTGCTCAGACCACAATGTAAATGCATATACTCATAAATTCAAGAAGAAACCTGCTGCTCCACTGCTGATTATTAGTTTAAACTTTGAATCATTTTGACCATCATCACTGATCCGGATGACGTTATGAAATTCGACTTACCTGAACACATCAAATTACAGCGTTTTCACTTTACTACAACAGAGAATAATGACTCTAATCGTGGCCTACTCAACAGAATATGTACGATTTGAACCAGCTACCTGTACTGAGGTCTTGTTTCAAGGACCAGGCCCAGCCAGCAGGCTTCGTAGCTCTCCCTGCACAACTGGTTGTCCTCCTGAAGATCACAGAAGGAGTTCACCAGGTAGCAGCCTCCTCTGCTCAGGCAGTTCATGGTGCGATTGTCTCACGAATGTCGACGTAAGTGGTGCCAAGAAAAACGTCCTCTTTCAGGCGGTTAAACAGAACTCGGGAAAAACGACGACAATGATTTATAAAGTCATGCGTCATCATCAGTGTGTGTGTCTGTGTATAAAGTGGTCTGAGATGTGTGTGGCAATGTCTTAAATATCCAGTCTTGTTTCTATTTTTACTCCTCTGTGTCACAATGTAGTGAATGTCCCGTACTTCAACATCCTGAAGCTTGGTTTTCATTTGAAAAGAAGCTCTTTCCATGATGTCAGCCAACCAGATAAATTCTACTTCATCTATAGAACTTGTAGCATTTTTAGTTGCTTCATGTACTTGTGAATAAAACAGAAGCATATTCTTAAACATTATGTCACCATTCAGAGGTCAAAGTCTGTATGAGCATGTGCATGATTAGAGATTTGGGGACATAAAAATGTGTGTGTGAGCAGGCGATGACAGAAATATAAAATGACTAATCTGCTCAACAGAGATGTATCCAAGAGTCATTAAATCAGATCAGAGAATCTAACCTCTCACTCCTCAAATATCTCTTGCATAGACTACATGTTGCAGGAAGTAAACAGCTGACAGTCACAACCTAACTCATTTATCCAAAGCTCCATCAGTTCCCGGGCCAAGTTCATGTTAAAAATAGAATGATAGACGCTAAGTGTTAACAATGATTCTTATTTTTAACAGGTGTGCTTCCAGTATCCTTTGATTTTAGCTGGACTGATGTAAAGGAAGGCTGATAGGTAAGTCAAAGTCCCTGCTGAATATTTAAGAGTTTCTATGAAGTCAGATAAACACAACAGGGTCAGAGCTACGCCATAATGCAAAAGGAAGTTATGTAAACTTCTGTATGTACAGCTAGAAAGTCATTCGATTCAATGAAACATCCTTCAGCACCGTGTTAAATTAGTTCACTGCACTAAAGCTCCTTGAAAGATGTGAATATGTGATATTCTGACACTGATGCCACTTTAAACTTGGATTGCTCTCACGATGCTGGCAACCTTCATTTCATTAGACTGTGAAACTGAATCAGAGGGTGTATTATGGTGTGAGTGAGGCTGTGAAAGGTATGCTGGACTCAGCCCAGCAGAAACAGTCTGTTCCTGCAACACAAGAGCAGCTACTCCAGTTTGATGCTGAATACTGACTAATAGATATTACTAAAGCAGCTTTCATGTACATTAACAAACTAACAAACAAACTAACAAACATATGATTCTGTTTAGAAAGAATGATTTTGCAGCCAATTAATCTGTTGTACTTAATTTTAAAAAATATTACTGACATTAGTATTCATAGCTGTAACTTGATATTAAATGTTTGGATATCAGATTCTATGTATTTTCTGTCATAGATGAGAACACATTTGTGTCACTAATGACATGGGTGTGTGTGTGTGTGTGTGTGTGAGTGGATGAGCTGCAGGAGGAGGGTTGTACATTTTCAAATTTTGTTTATTTTTGTTTTTTCCTGATTTCTGCCCACTCCAGCCTTTTTTTTTTTAAGTATTATGCTTCAACCTACAATGCCATTAGCACAGGAAGAGTGCATAAACACAGTTGCTCTGTTTCATAGAAGCAGCTGTTCACATTTAACCAAGCAACTACAGATAAACAAAGCAGGTTTATTTCCCAAATAATGATTTATTGCCAACATTCAAATATACTGCAGGGAATTTCTCTCCATCAAAAGTCTGACAGATTTGCCTGTAAGTCTGACAATCAGTTGAAACTGTGACAAAAAACAAAAACATGAACTCAACAACTCCAAAGACTTGGTGGATACTTTCTGCTTAATCCACAAATTAGTGAAACAGTATGTTCACAGAGATGAATGAAAATGTTCCCCTGATGTTCAGATATTTATCAGTTCTGATCAAACAAGAAGATGAATTTTGTCTATGATGAAAAAAATGACAAACAATTCTTTCTTCAATAACTGAATTACTCACTGATATACTGTTCACCTGCATCAAACTTCAGGTATGTATCACACACACACACAGCCTTAATAACTCATGTTTAATCGCTGAACCAGGCAGGCCTCTTCCTGGGCATCTCCACGATTCTCTTGTCTTTGTCCGTCTGACTCGGTGCTTCACCCTCATACACGACAACAGTCTCTACGGCTGGAGCCCTCAGCGGGCCGCCCTCCATTGCTTTAATCTGTTGACGAATCAGAGAAGTCTCCCTGCACACCTTAGCGTAACAGAAGCCACACAGGATATGTTTCTGCTTCAAGTGGCCACACTCTGGACACGGCCCGATGTTGTTCTGAGAGAGATAGACAGAGTAAGACTGAATCAAATATTGCTTTAGGATACTGTCAGTTATGTTTTTACACTGAAAACACCAGCAAACATACAACATCTGCAATGTTTAATCTTAGTTTTTATTTCATTATTTAAAACCTCTGATTGGCTTTATGATTTTAGGGAACATTTCTACTCTAATTACCTTTCTGTCCAGCAAGCAGGTGAACTGTTACACAGAGATTATGCACAAGTTTATGCACCAATAAAATCATTGAGAACAAAGCGGCAGTGTCAGGCAATTGAGTCTGTGGTGCTGTTTTAATATTGTCTCCTGGGAATTGTAACGTGCAATTAAATTCATTTCAAGTGTCACTTTTTCCAAAATCCCATATATAAAACTGAATCAAACAAAATCCAATCTATATTTTGATGGCCATTTTTATGGTTTGATTCAAGTTGAAATGTCTGAAACTTCACCAATAAAATAAACAGCAACACTGCCTTCTCCTGAAGAACTGGTTGCAATGAAACTGCCCATAGTGTGGCATGTGGAAATCGCCCCACTCACACCCAGCTGCTCAACTTGTGGCGATGACGTGCTCCCCCGACTCACAAATATCAAATTTTAAGCCTTGGTTCACTGTACTTAGTTAATAAACTCTACATGGATGGCAGCAGAAATGTTTTAAAGTACTGACATGACAGTTAAAACAGCTACAACAATTTTCCTGAGGTTTCCACCAAAGGAATCAATAAAGTTCTATTTTATTCTATAACTCTAGGTCAGATGCACTGCAAGACATATGTCCTAAACTGCTGCCTTTTCAATTTGCTTATAGTATTGCTTTAAATTTTTGGTTTAAAATTGCTAGACTTTTAAGCCCTAAGTGACACAAAATTTGTTACAGTTTGCTTTTGGTGTGAAAAGACCCTCTGAGATGATCTCAGGCCTTTCAAGTGTACCTGGAGTTTTAGTCGTTTGCTGTCAGATCTCCTTCTGGTGCGGTTGACCTCTATCGTGCGTCTCTTCTTGGGAGCTGCCATCCATAGGATGCCGTCGAGGAGGCCATCAGGCTGTTCTGGGCTCTGCTGCTCCTCCAGCTCCTGGTCGAACTGAGGAAGGAGGCTGGGGCCATTTATTGCCAGCGCTGGACCTGCAGGCAGAAGGGAAGCAATGTTGTTACCATTCTAGCACAAAACTTAGCCCGGTGAGACCAGAATAAAAACAAAAACATTATGAAATAGTTTGTAAAAACAAGGGTGTACAAAGTGCTTTGATGGACAAAGCAAAAGCAGGACACCCAGAAGGCAAAATGACAACAGGAACCCAGACAGTAAAGCCAAACAAAGCAGGGCAAAATTAATGCCACGTTAACATTGGACACAACAAGAAAACGAAAACACTAAAAATACAAAAGTCAGAGTTTAGCTACAGACAAATACAATTTAAAAATAAGCAATAAAACACGCATTGATAAATAAAAATTAAAATATGGAAAGAGAACACACAAAAACAGCTAACAGAAAGTATGAAGAAGACAAAGCTAGGAATGAAAAAAAAAATACAGCCAGTTAAAGCTTGAGAGAAACTGACTGAATCTGAGTTACATGACATTTAGCTAATCTTTCGATATAGCAAGATTAGCTAATGCTGCTCCAGTCGGTAAACTCACCCAGGTGTGTGTCTAGTCCGGCCGCCTGCAGAAGTCTGCTTTCAATACGTAGCAATGAGCATCTGAGGCTCTGAACTAAAGACGTTAAATTCATCATTTTCACAAGCAGCACGCTGCTATTCCTTACAACATGTCAAACAGCTCACGGTCACTGAGGTTCTGACGTCATTAAACCGCGACAGCAAACTATTCTTCTTCGTCTTTTTTTTATTTTCCGGCAGATAAGGCGGGATTTGGATGTGCTGTCACGTAGCGGTGAAAACGTCGAACTACACTCACCGACGGAGCCAAGTCTGCCCTCGATAAACTGTCATGTTTTGTCAGCACAGTTCAGTACAAAAAAAAATAAAAAATCAGCCCTTGCCTCGGTTGTCTTAGGGCTATGTTATTAAAAGGTGTAGGTTTCGTTGGAGGATTCTGCGCACGACCCCCTAGGATTTCTGGTAAATATATGTCTTTTCTGCATCAATTTATGATGATCTTTATTTATGTTAAGGAAAAACCTTGCACCCCCCTGATATCTACACGTATGCATGGTTTCACTTAGCTATAACATTCAGCATTTTAAGAACACAATTAGAGCATATTGATTTCTATCCTAAAATTCAGTTTTTATGCCATACATGTTTTTAAAAAAAATGCATTTTAAGGTTGACTGGTCAAAGGAGTGCCTGTGTACTGGTCACACTATCTGAAAACTATCCTGTAAAGCCCCACTCAGTCACCTGGTCAAAAACACGCTCAAAAACGTGTTATTAACAACTGAACCGTATTAACTCTGCTCCAACCATAACAAAAAAAGAGATGTTTGTTTTTTCCTTATGTCAAAAAAGCAGACAATTTGCATGCTGTGTTTGTAGTTTTCGCTCACTCTTATCTGTCTTATTTTACATGATGTTCTGCAGGTGGCGCTTTACATTCTTAACCGGACTGACAACCCTCCAGTCCGCACAGAGTAGAAGAAGAAGAACAAGATGGCGGAACGAGGATATAGTTTCTCCCTCACCACATTTAGGTAAACTTTGTCAAAATATTGTTAAAATTGTAAGAAGGCACATCAACTTGTACCACGCAGTGACTGTTTTTCTTTAGCAGTTTCAGCAAATGTATGCGCCGCTTTCTGTTTCGTTAGGAAGATGTCGTTTGGGAGCCGTTGTAGTTGATGCACTGTCATTGCCGAGTAAATGAATCGGCTAGCGTCGACTGTTAGCATGGCTGCTAACCGGGGTTTAAACTAAACCATCAAAAGACTCATTTCGGATTCAAGTCATTAAAACTCGCTTTTTTTTTTAGTTCGACACAGTAGCCGAATAGAGAGAAACGATTCTGTTTCTAATGTTGACATTTTAGACAATAGCTTGCTAGCATGAACTTAGCTCAGATGAGTCAGTTGTTTTAGCTTTTACTTTCAGTTTCGTGTAATTGGTTATTTTACGCTAATTCTGAGTAGCAAACTAAAATAGTTGCTGTGTCTGCATTCAGTTTAGTTAATGCCCCCTCCACCTCTGTATAATAATGCAGCATCTCGTGTTTCTTCCTGCAGCCCATCGGGTAAACTGGTCCAGATTGAATATGCCCTGGCAGCAGTCGCAGCCGGAGCACCTTCAGTTGGCATCAAAGGTAAGGAAACCTGGAAACCTGCGGATCATATTTTACTGAGAGTTTTGAACCAAAGATAAGCCACAAGACTTGGGGATTCATGCATCGCTGTTGAATAAAGATGTTAACTTATTTTACGTGAATTTGGTGTGAGATGGTTTTAGGCAGTGCAGCACAATACATTGCCCTAAAAAAGTCTATAATCTCATCCAGTGTATTCATTGCAAAAGGGCAATTTAACATAAGGGGTAGACAAATTATTTGTTCGGATGATCAAATGTAAATGTAAGATCTGCTGTTTACGAGTTTAAGGATTATCAGGAACGTTTTATTTTCCATTAAAAATGTTCATTTGAAAATGTTTAATTAAACAGATGTAAAACATGAGGAAATAAGAGCTTTCTACAAAGTTTTTTGGGGGGAAGGGTGTTGTGTTATTCTTAAATTTGACTGTAAATATGTACGGTGATGACTAATAAACAGAATCAATGTCACTCCTTGTAAAACACTTGTCGATCGACCCCTACTTAAAACGTAAAACTGAATGTATTATTCCTGAAATGTTGTTGCCTATTTGTCCTCACTTTATTATGGACAAGTTGGGAATTCTGATAATATATGGAAGAAGAATACAAGACTAAACAGCAACCAGACTCTTTCAAAAAGTTGAAATTGCTTTAAAAAATTGACTATTAAGATTTGTGAAGATTCTCTTTGGGTTTTTTTTTTTTTTTAGCTTCCAATGGAGTTGTCCTGGCAACAGAGAAGAAACAAAAGTCCATCCTGTATGATGAACAGAGTGTCCATAAAGTGGAGCCAATCACTAAACACATAGGCATGGTCTACAGCGGCATGGGACCTGACTACAGGTGGGCACTTTTTGTGTGTTCGTAAACAGTTTTTCTTTCTTAACTTCTGTTTGGTGGTGTTGCTGTGATGTCCTACTGCTTCCAAATGCAGCCGTAGACCCAAAAAATAGCAACACTTATCCTACACTAGCCTTTTTCTAGTCTGATAAATGTAAATAATGGATGTTTTGCTTGTGTGAACATTTCATCACACTGTATTTGTTTTATACCTTTTACCGGACCATGCAGTATGCTGTTATCTTTAAAGTTTTTAGGTTGCTACCTGGGTTTCCGGACAGTTATATTTGTGTTTTCTTCTTTGATGTTCAAGGCTCTGTATGTGAGTCCAGAAGATGTTACACAGAGTGTGACTACTGAATCTCACATTCACAAATGGATTAATGAGTTGTTTCTTTTGTAGGGTTTTAGTGCGACGAGCCCGGAAGCTGGCACAACAGTACTTCCTGGTTTACCAGGAGCCAATTCCCACGGGCCAGCTTGTCCAGAGAGTGGCCTCTGTAATGCAGGAGTACACACAGTCTGGGTGGGTATGCACAGAGATATACTACTACACACACTGTGATATATGTTTTGTGCTTGAGAGGTAGGATACGTTCAGATAAACGTTCACATTTTGAATATGACCATCACTGGATTTTTCTCTGTTTTCTCAGCATTTAGCTCATGTTAGTAAAAATGTGTTGCTAATTTTGTCATTTGGACAGGGCATTTCAGTGCGCGTTATACCATGTATAACTCTGTTTGTGACCAATAAAAGACCTTGAATCCTTGAATCCTTGAGGTCAGTGTGTGACCTAAACTTATACAAAGTCATTCAAACTGTCTTTCTCTTCCTCAATCTAGTGGAGTGCGTCCATTTGGCGTGTCGTTGCTGATAGCCGGATGGGATGAAGACCACCCCTACCTGTTCCAGTCAGACCCCTCTGTATGATGTGTTGTTTATTTTCACATTTGCCATGAAATAATTCTGATCTTTAGTCAGAGAGATTTCACAGCTCAAAATGAGATAATTGATTATATTCAATAGGCTATATATGCCAGAGGCTTATGTTGCTATCCTTTTTTCTTCTGTTCGTGTTTGACAGGGTGCATATTTTGCATGGAAAGCCACAGCCATGGGAAAGAACTACGTTAATGGAAAGACATTCCTTGAGAAAAGGTAATTTGACTTCACCTGTCAGAGCAAGGACTCTGTATGGTTACTATGGGTATCTCAATGATCATGACATATATGTAGGAGTGTATATGGAGTAGTATGTCTCACACATAGTTTCATTTTGAGGCAGTTTTCAGCACGTTTGAGCCATTTTGAGTGAAATAGTAATGAATAGCTAAGTGCCAGAAATTAAAATGTGAATCATTTTTGCACTATGCTCTTAACACAGTTTTGAGTCCTGAAATACTGTTGGAATAATTTAGATATGACAATGATATACATTATGATGACCACTTTGATCTCATTCCCAAGGTATAACAATGATCTGGAACTGGAAGATGCCATCCACACAGCCATCCTGACACTGAAGGTATGCCATTTGCAATTTTAAAATACATCTTGAACCATTACAATCTGTCTTCACTGTTACCGTGTCTTTCCTTTTGATGGGAGTTATGCACATTTTATACTTTTTGTGTTTCAGGAAAGTTTTGAGGGTCAGATGACAGAGGAGAACATTGAGGTGGGGATCTGTAACGAGGCAGGCTTCAAAAGACTCACCCCAGCGGAGGTGAAAGACTATCTGGCAGCCATTGCGTGAACACACCATCTCTGGTGACGGGGCTCTCTGGCCACATTTCAAGACAAAGACACAACTGCGCAGTAGCCAATGGTCTCATCACTTAGCCTGTCAACCACAATATTTCCACATTGTGTTATGGTCAAACTTTTTCTGGCCAAGGAAAAAAACAACCTGAGGACGCCCACAATAACTTAACCGTGTTGAAGAATATTAATGTGACATGACAGAATCATGCAGCCTGTTGAGAGGCTGCATGATTCTATTAACTTGCCTCCATCAGGGGGTGTGAGATGGCAGAATCATGTTACAATAACTAATTGGCTTTGTTGTCTAACGCATACCCTGGTATTGTGAAATGTGGCGGTTGGCTACTGTGCAAATGAAAAGGAATGTGGGCTCTGATGAGTGAAATCTCAAGTCTTCCATTGAATCCTAGTTTTCTTATTGCTCATTACCACTGCAAAGGCAATGCACTGGATTTTAGAAGACAAGCATTGTTGTATTCTGCATTTGTTCAAAATTCTACAGCTTGTTTAGGGTGATAAATGGCCTCTGGTTGCACAAAAAGCAAATTAAATAGAAATGACACCAAGTCAAAGCCTTAGTTTTACATCTGTCAGAGGGTGATCTAATTATCTGGAATCCTCAAACAACACTAGGAAGGATAAACAAAAGGAAGCAAGTAGTGAGGATCTAATGGAAAGTTTTGAGATTTTACAGTCAGGTTCTGGTTGCCTGTACAGCAGTTTTACATGATGTACTCTCTTTTTTTCAAGCTAGAAACAATTCTAGAGTTTGTATCTTCTTTTCTGGTATCTGTCACTTATTCCAATAAAAGATAATGATCAGACGGTGACTCCGTGTTTTGAATCAATATACTTCTGTCATGAAATAGCAGCGAAAAGCAGGTGTATTGTACATTGGAAAACTATGAACATGCTATTCACGTAAATGAGCGCGCACTTTAAAACGGAGCGCGCGCTAACATCAACCGGGACACCTTTTCGAAGTAGATATGTATTCCTCCGCTCGTATATAGTTTAAAAAATACTACGACTGGTGAGGTAATGATAAAACCTCCTCCATTAAAACTCGCTCTACTGCCGATGTGATGAAAATAAAAGTACTTTAACTAACTGGCTTCATCTGCAGGTTTGCCAGAGGGTCTACTTTTCCCAGCGGCAGCTCGTATCTGCTTACCTCATAACCTCTGATGACGTTTATGGCGCCAGAAATCAAGGGTTTAGTGAGGAGCTCGTGTGTGTGTGTGTCAGCTGGCGGATATTTACCGTTATCCGGGTTATGTTGGCGGTACCGTAAACGCCAGGCGTTTATAGGTGGATTATCGTCTGATTGTCCGTCGTTCATGCGAGTATAAGCTCGTTTAGGAGGCAAGATGGTGATACTACGCAGCAGCGGCGGCGTCGGAGCTGAGCCGGGAGCAACTACTCCGAAGAGGAGGTCAATGGAGTTGGATACAAGCTCCGAGTTTCTGTCGCTGCTTCCCGCGTCGCAGAGAAAGTCTGCCCGGCTGACCCGGTCCTCCCGAGGAGCAGATGACAGCTTTAGCAGCCCTGAAAACAACACGGCAAATGTGAGAACACACGTCCAGACAGCTGGTTTGATATCAAGAGGGGCGTTTGTTCGGTGGATAAGTTGTCTGTGAACGCAACTTTGCTATGCTAGTTTTGCTAGCTTGCTAAGCTAACTAGCAAACAGACTTCTCAGCCTTTGAGCTACTGATAAATGATCTGATTGTGCAACAGTAATCTCCCGTAGTATTTTACTGATACTCGTATAGACATTGGGCTTTTCTAGATTTTCTTGTAATGAGCATTTATAATCGTCACTTTCAAAATTACACACAAATGATCCTAGTGTATTTTTTTTTAAGTACTCTGGTCAAACAACAGTATTGTTCGCTGAGAGACCAGGTCATCAAGTTACCTGTGTAAGCAAGGTGGTGTTTACAGATGATATATGGCGTTGTACAGACTTGATGGGCGTCTGTTCATTCATTCATTCATTCTTTCAGTAACTCCATCATTTAGCAACCTTTATCTCAGACCAGCACAAAACATAAACACTGTAACATAAACACTAAATTAGTGTTTCCTAAACTTTGGATAAACCTTGTCATCAGTTTAAAAACATATCTTGTCTTACGCATACACACATGACACTGGTGCCCTGTTATGTTGACCATACACTAAAAAGTATAATTTGAGATTAATGTGTTGCTTTACTTTTATATAACTTATATCTAAAGCATAAACAACACAACATCTGAGATACATGGCAGGGATATAGGTCAGCAGCAGCACCTATGAGGCGGACCTATGAGAAGATAGAATTGTATTTATCCTAAATGTTTCCCTCATGGCTCATATTTGAACTGTATGCCATAGAATATATTAGATTAGCAATTGCATACTAAACTAAAATGCAAATCCAAGTGAGTATATGTGAGGGAATGTCTCGACATCAATAAAATCATTGATAATACTGTATGTGAATATCTCAGTAATCATTGTAGTAAATTGCACTAAGTAGTTATTACATTGTATCCTAAACACTTCAGTTTTGCACAGATCTCCATGCCCATGATAACTTCAGTTTTCACTATATGTGCTGTAAACTATAAACACTTTGTGACTGTGTCAGGGACATGCTGATATGAAGCAGGAGGAGGGAAGTGGTCTCCATCACTCTCTGAGGACCAGAAGACAAAGAGTTAATTTAGAGGTCTCTTTTGCTGGCATGGGGCCAACGACCAGCTCACCTGTGGATGAAGACAAGGTTGGAGGCTGCTGCACCAGGTAATCCAGGTCCACTCACTGTGACAACCAGTTATGAGTGTTGTTATTTAGCTGACATGCCTCTACCTGTAGACCTGCAGGTTAGATATTAAATGTGGAAAATTGGTTGCACACTAAGCCGTTGGATAGGGCAATGTAATAAAGGCAGATGCACTTTAGTTTCTAGAAATTTTTCAACAACTGTAAAAACAAAATTCTATATATTTGTGTTAGTAAAATTCTCCAATACCATTTTTTTTTGTCTAAGATTTGTGTTCCTCCAAAGTTCACCAGTTGCATGCAAAATCTGTTTTTGCACACGGAACGAGTCAAGGAAAAATTTTTAAACTTGATGTAACAAGGCTGGAGCCTAAATACTAATAATTGTATGGCTTGCTTTATAATTTATACTTTTGTTGGTAGCATCATGCCTACATTTTGTCAAGCCCTATTGTACAAAGTCAGTGCAAATTCTGCTGTCGATTCCAATGATTTTTGTTAACTACTAGATAAATTGTGCACAGTTTTAGAACACAAACATTTTGTAAGATAACACAAACTGATTTTTGGTTTCCTATCTCTTGTATGTCTTCAGGAAATCTTCCAGGCTGCAGAGAGAAGGAAAAGCATCTAGTGCTAAACAGCAAGCAGGTACAGCACAGATTTCTTAATTAAATAATTTATTTAAAATACACATTTGTAGGATAGTTAAATACTACTTTATAACAATAACAAAAACAAGCTCTTGTTGGCACCCCAGATGTTCCAGATGAAGTGGAAGGCTCATCTACTCCCAAAAGAAGTCGTTTTAACCTACAGAGCCGACAAGTGGAAGAAGAGGAGGAGGAGGAGGAGGAAGATCGCTCAGTGCGACGTAGCTCCCGAATCACCAGATACAAATTGGACTCCCGTAACCAGTCAGTGCTGTATGATCGCCTCATCACCAAGTGAGTCCAGCCACATTGACTCCAGCTTCTTTTGGCACCTTCCACTGCTGCGTCAGTAAAAAAAAGAAAATATGTATAAGACAAATTAACAAATAAACTAACATATTAAGTAGACTGTGGGCTTTGATCTTAATCTAAAGCGTAATTAGTCTAGGGATAAACTTTAATGAAAATCTGGTTCTCACTGCTCTCACTCAGCACTGCCGAAGCTGTTCTTCAAAAGATGGATGACATGCAGAAGATGAGACGCAGACTGAGGAGCAGAGACAGGGACAGAGACGCTAAAGAAGAGGTAATTACTCACAAAGGAAATTTCACTGTTTAATTTTAACCTCTATGTCATATTCTGTTATCATAGTGTTTATAGAGAGAATTTTGCATATTAGTAATGTGTAGCAAGCTTCAAACAGGTCACTTAATCATCTGTGTCCTCTGAGCAGCTGGGCGTGTACGCCAGTGTCAGAATGAGAAGGTCTCTGAGGACGAATGTGGAGAATAAAGAAACTGAGGAGGAGAATCAAGGTGAGAAGACTAAGGTTGGATTAGGGACACAACTGAAGAGAACTGTATAAAGCAAGGTGATTTAGGTTTATCCAGTTCTGGAGAGTTTTACACATTGAGGGCACACGCTACTAACAGACATGCTACTGATATAACAAGTACTTGCATGCCCAAGTGTATTTTCTTCACCTTAAGTTCTAATGGCTATCTCCATATAACTTCAAAAAACTTATTTGTTGACCTTTTTGTTTTAGAAAAAATGAGTCCGACATAACATTTTACATATTTTTGTTGAAGTTGCTGAGTTGAGTTGCTCAGTTTTACCTGATTTATTGTTTTATCCAACCAGCTTTCCAGTGCGTCTTTCACAAAGTGTTTTATGTATCTTAGAACCACGACTACTATTGACAGGAATTTTATGAGGAAGTTGTTGGTGTTTGTTTATGGTGTCCTCTGATGACAAGGTTTGGTGTGTTCTTACTTGGTTCATATTTTGATCTGTTTTGTTTATTTCACAGGAGGGGATGAAGATGATAATGACGATGAAGAGGAGGAGGAAGAAGATGGAGAGGATGACGAGGAGGAAGAAGACGATGAAGATGATGAGGATGGCGAGGATGAGGAAGAAGAAAACCAGCAGCGCTACGACTTCAGACAGCGAAAGACTGTGGTTCGCTACCAGGCACCACAAGATGGTACTGCCTCTGTTCAGAGCTATGAATCAAGTCACTGATCAAACGTTGAACTTTGTACTTTGGTAGCAACATTGTTTGAGGAGATTTGTTGATCTTTCATCAGAACCCAGAGAGCCCAGAAAGCGCAGCATGTACTTCAAGGACCACGCGTCTCCTACCAGACGCAGGTTCAGATTCAGCTCCACCGCCCCCAGGAGCCCCTACAACAGAAGGAGAACCAGCAGGTTAGTACAACAGCTCTGTCGCCTCACTTTAATCTGATCTTTAGAAACAACACAAACTGTTATCAATAGATTTCTTGTCTCAGTAGCACTTAAGCAATAGTCTTCCAATTAATTGTAACAATCAGCAAAAATGTTCTGACTAATACGCTATGTAGAAAGGAGTCGCAACCATAGTGGTTCTTAAACTTGTGCAAATTACAGATATTACTTGCTTCTTAGTGATAATGTTGCAGCAGCTGCATTGTCTACTTTTCTTACTCACACAGGTTATGCAGACACACAGCTGTTACATTTTGTTACTTACTCATAACTCACACATTCATTCTGTCAGTTCCACAGAAAGGAGTTTGGCCAAAACTTCAAGTGAATTTCTTTCTAAAGATTTTTTTGACTCCTACAGTTATGGGTCATACCATTGTCTTTTATGGTCTATCGTTGCATGTCCGAACCATCCCAAAATTGCTCTTTTTCCTCTTCCTTTTCTGAATGTCTTCCTCCCACCCTCAGGAGTAGTTCTGAGAGGTAAGACCCTCACTACTTGTTGTTGTCGGTGTTCTTAGTTGGTCTGTAGTTTGTCTTTGGGGTGCTGTCTGTCTTTGCTAGCACTGTGGTTGTTGGTAGGTGACACATTTGAGCTGCACTATGGTTATTTATACTGTGGTAAGTATTGAGAGAATGAAAAACT